CCCAAACCCCAGACCCGAAACCCTAAACCCAAGATCTAGGCTCCCACTGAGCGGTCCTGGCATTCTGCAAGTTCGGCTTCGGCCTGTTTGAGGAGCTTCCGCTTCGGCCTGCCAACACTCTAGGGCTGGTGTCCGCATAGGAGAACAAGAATAAGAGCAAGAAGAGCTAATCAAAGCTCAAAGCCATTCCGTCATGATGACAACAACAGGAACAGCATTTACAACAATAAGCGTTGCAACCATAACAGTTGCAATGGCGATTTCCTCTTCTGTGCCGCAAGGCATTTTGTCTCTAGGCTCCCAGCTCGACGGCTTTGGCGACGAAGTGGTACTTGTACATCGCACGGACCTACGTCTCAGCGACATTCCAGAACCCACATACCCTAAGCCCCTAAGCCCTTTTGCAGCCGGGCCTCTATCGCCGGGTACACTGCAAGCTAGCTGGCTAAGCAAACCACTGGCAGGGCTGAGCTACTTACAATCACTCCCCACTCCTGGCCTCAGGGCTATCCCCTGAACCCGAGACACGAAAGCCCTGAACCGTAAACGGCACTGACCACAGCTCCCACCTTAAACGCCAATCCCACGAAGCCCTAAACCCCGAACAAGAGCTCGCAACATGAAGAGTCTGAGTGCCAAGCCCACAAACACAAGGCCTCGCAAGCGATGGAGGCCTCAGTCACCATGCGTCGCCCCAGCGTTAAACTCGTGATGATACTAGTACTAAGACTAAGAGAAGGAATGAGAACAGTAGTTACAGCAGCAGAAATAGTGGCAGTGGCAGTGCTAGTGACAGTGGTCGTGGTAGTGATACGGTGGATAGAGGAAGTCTTGCACCGTCCAGATGCTGACTAATGACCCTTGCTTCAAATTGATGATAGCATGCCATGTTGCTGGTGTACGATTTTTGCCAGTGAAACCCCACGGCACTTCCCGGACTGGACATCAATGTTAAACGAGGGTGCGGTGCGGGGTACTCTCGCTGGTCTACTCAAACGGGTGCAAGATTTGCTCCTTCAGCAGCGGTAATGGTGTTGGTGTTGGTGTTTGTGATGGCGGTGGCGGTGGTGGTGGTTGTGGCTAGCAGTTTCAGTAGCGGTAACTAATGGTGGCAGTAGCGGTCGTGGTAGTGGTAGTGTTCGTGGTAGCAGGAGAAGGCAATGATGCCATCATAATGGTTGGTGATGATCAGAATACCAATAGTAATAGTCATGATGGCAATATGCAATCTGGAGAAGCATTGCTTAGCGGTCTGTCCCCAGGCATCATGCAACCCACAGACACGCTTCGGCTGGCCTTCTTGATTGCGGCAGGATCGAAGTCCTCTCTGTCGATGTAGGGCCCGATCGTCTGGATGACCTTCGCTGCGTAGGGTTTAGGATTTGATCCCAAGGCCAGGTCTGCAGAGTCTGCAGGGCACGTGGCCTTGTCGGGGATGTTGTCCTTGTCAAAGTCCATGAGGTCTTCCAGGAGCTTCTTTGCATCCACAAGGACCTCAACACCCCAAATCCCAGCATGGGTAAAGTAGGGACTGCCACAAGCCCTATAGTCTCGGACCTGCTTCTGCGAAGTTTCCCAATAATCCTGCCGAGTACGTTGCAAAAGTTGGGAAAGCGCGATGCGTGCTGAGGCCGCTCAAACCGGGGTCACCTCGATCTTCTTCGAAGGATTGCTCGGGTCAGGCTTCTTCACTGGCTTCAGCTGAAACCTGGGCGGCACTCTGGACTCCCCTGAGGTTGCAACGATGTCATGAGGCCCTGACATAATGCACACGCCTTCGCAGGCGAGCCGTACACCAGCCGGTGGATTTGCAAGCGCCTTGACTTCCTGGATGTGCTCCTGGCTGCTGGTGCTCTTGAGGCTCAAAAGAAACAGGAACCTTCAGCTATACTGTACTATGCTGCGCCATACCCTAGCATACTATACTATGCTATGCTATCCCCAGCCTACAGTACCATACTATGCTATGCTATACTATGGCCTAGCAAAAGACGCATCCAGCACTCTTCCCTATCCCAGGGCCGCTCCTTCTTCAGCTTCCTCAAGCACTCCACCTTCGGTGCCCAGCTTGCTTTCATGCTGCTCAGATGCAGGCCCCCGAAAAACAACATGCATTTTGGAGATACCATCTTTGAACCCACAAGCCTCGTAAGCCCTAAGCGACCCCTAACCTCCGTGACACCTTTTTGGTTCCTTCAAACTTTTGCAGAGTCGTCTCATTATATTATAATTTAGAAGTCCAGACAACTGATAACTTTAATCACCAGTTTTCTATAATCCAATTCACAACCCGAGCCTGATTGTCGAAGCAGGTATATACAGCTTCGGAACTAGTTGAAACCCGAGATGTAAGCCTCGATGGAAGTATTCAGGCCCATATGAAGGCCGAAAAGCCTTACATAAAACCCTCCCTTTTTGCAACAGGCTTTCCACTTCGCCCGGAGTTGGAGCAAGCATAAAACCCTCCCTAGACCCTTAACCCTGAACCCGAACCGCCTACTAAACCCGTTTGACCCTAGTCACCCTAGTCAGTCTCTGGCTTCTCGAAACCCTAAACACTAAACCCTCAACCCTCAACCCTAAACCCCTAAACCTTGTAAAACCTAGAAACCCTATAAACCCTGTAAACCCAAAACCCTCAGGCTCCGACCGCTTGGTCCAAGGCCGGCAAAGCCTCGTCCAGGTCTCTCTGGGCATCGTCCTTGGGCCCAGCGGTTTCTGTCCCAAAGTGTTTTTTGAGGTTTAGGGTACAGAACTCTGTGTTTTGGTGCTTTTTTCACTGCGATGCGTTTACTACCTCTACTGATAATGTGTGGTTCTACTTATCAGCACTGGTGTTGCCATTTGTTTCTGCTGCCGTGCCTTGATGGCTTGAGTCTCCTCGGCCTTCACCGACGCGGCAGCCTCTTCCGCTGCAACAGCCTTCAAGCGCGAGCCATTCAGCGGCCGTCTTCGCATCCGTGCTCGACATAAGTCCCCCACCTTGCTCACTTCTTCAGCCTCCCCTTTGTCCTTCGTGATCACCACCTTTCACGAAGTCGCTTACAAACATGCGACTGTCTTAGGCGTTCCCTGCGGAGATGGATTCAGATAATTCGGCTCACCATCATCTCGCCGACTTCCTTCTGCGTCTTTTCCAGCATGGGCCTGACACGACGACACTTCCGTGTTGCATCTCTGGTACGCCCCCATGCAGAAGTAAAGTAGGTAAGCAGCGGACTTCTTATCAACCAGCATCTGCTGAAGTCCTGCGACTTGCTCCTCGGCGTCGCCGATCTTGCCCAAACCTCAACTGCTCCAAGGTCTGGCCCCCGTCTCTCACGTCAGCCACACCTTGAGATCGCTAAGCATGTGGCCAACGCTATATCTGTGCTGCAGCATGCCAACCTTTCCGGTTCAAAGTTTCAGAAAAAGCAGAGTCCCGAAAAAATCACTGTAAAGAGGACCAGCAATGGACCGACTTGCGACGTGAGGCAAAGGAAGTGGCCTGCTTGCGCTTGTCTGCAAGAATGCCGACGAAGCTGTTCAGCAACTCTAGGAAGGAGGTTGGCGTCACCTTATGGTTAAGGCTTTTCGGTGTTTAGGGGCGTTTCCCAGCCGCTCAACTGACGAGGTCGCACTGCAGGGAACACACTAGTTGTTGGAGCGAGGGCAAGTCCCACAGTCCCAGGGTACACGCCACTCGACAACCGGGCAAGACCACCACCAACTCAACAACCACTACAATCAATCAATATATATATATATAATCATAATCACTAATTACAAGCTCTGAGCAGTTTGGGCCACGCCGGACTCGTAGGAGAAGCTCAAAAAGCCCGACTGTCCCGAACGACCCCCCAAGAGGAGTTGGATTTCAGGGTTCAAGGTGTTCTGGTTCAGAGTTTGGGCGCCTCTGGATAAGCAACAACTGCAACAACTCACGGGCATGAGCGAGCGGCATAAACGTGGCGATTGGTCGCTTTCAAGAAGCTTCGCGACGACGTCTCGACGCTCTGGTGGATGGTCTGGAACCTCAGTTCGTGAAGAGGGATACTCACGGAAAGAAGCTTTGGTCAACGCATGCATGTATCATTGGCACGTTGTACATCTAGAATGTAGATGGATAGCTACGAACCGGCGTGACTTTAGCATGTACAGATGATGGATCCAATATTTGACTACTTGTGACTACTTCTGTACTTCTGCCCCTTAGTCGTCTCCTAAACCCTAAACCCAAAACCCTAAAACCCTAAAGCCCTAAACCCTTACTTCTTCCTTCCCGACGCCTTGCGTCAAGCCGGAATGCACCCTTCTGTGCCCCGAGCATCTTCAAGGAGCCCTCGAGGTTGGGAAGCTCGACCTTCAGGACAGTATATACAGTATGTGTGTATGTATATATACACATACACACACACACACATATACATATATATACATATGTTATATATATATATATGTATGTATACTCTATAGAATACATAACAAATAACGTGTAATATAACACATAAGACATGATGTGTGATTTGCAGAAGAAGCTGGGGGCTCTTGCGGCTTCGGCTCTGATGTGGGAACTTGTGAGACCCAAGGCTTCTGGCGTGATTTAAAGCTTAGGGCCCGAAAGCTGTCGTGTACGGTTTAGGGTTTAGGATGTAGGTGTTTAGGGGTTTAGGGTTTAGGGGTTTACGGTTTAGGGTTTAGGGGTCTAGGGTTTAGAGTTTAGGTGTTTCGCGTTTAGGGTTTCGACTCACACACACTCGCAAAGCAGGCATGGCGTACAGCGTCCGAGATTGCTACTGGGACATACCCAACCAGCACTAAAGGAGGCGGGGAACATATAGAGTCAGGATAATAGTACATATAATTCCCGGAAAAGACAGCCAAGTATGCCATACTCCTAGTACCATGTCGGGACGTGTCCCCGTCATTACTAGACCTCACTTTTTTTCTTCTCCACGCCGCTGATGCTTCTATAATAGGTCTGCCGGGGCCCTGCCTCAGGCAGGGGACACCCCAGCAAGAAAGAGACTATCTATGTACCTGGAGGTGGGCAAAGTCCCAAGCCTCTCGTGGTTTCTGACCCTCCAGCGAAGGAGAGCGCAAAACGCCTTTCGGGTGTCTCGCATGGCCCACGGGCTCCTTTGCGGGCTATGGCCTCGAGGGCTTTTTCGGCTCGTGCACAACTGGAGACATCCTAAACCTCTGAAGAACAATGATCAGCACATTTCCCATGGTGCGAAGTACCCTTCGTCGGCGCAGGCTCGGCAAGACGAGCGCGAAAATGGTGGAAAAACCGCACCGTCCGGGTTTCGTGTCCAGGAATGTGGAGCTTCGGACTTCGAACTAAAACTTAGGCTTACGCTGTATGAAACCGCCTCTAAACACCTAGGAGACTATGGACCGGCCGGCCGGCTGCCAGCAGGAAATCACGTAAAGGCCTCCTCCTGCTCCGCAAAGAAAGTGCCAGAATGAACAGCTGCGCATCAAGGAATTGAATACATGTTACTAGAGTCGCAAGAATCATGCACATACGCTTTTGCATGTATCGATCTGGAAGTCCTACTCGAAGCAATTCAAACTTACAGGCAGCCATTCCCAGGTGAATTTTACACTCACCTTCCCGACCCTCTCCGCGCAAAGCCAGCAGGAGGAGCGATATGGTGTTGGCCCAACAAGAAGGCCCACCGAAAATTCAACCAAACAGCCCGGAAAGCGGCAGACGGTGCCCGAAGCGCTGCCGCGAAACCCCTGAACCCTTCTTCAGGCTCTCGGGCAATGGGGAAAAGAAAAGCGTCGGCAGGACAAGACCACACAACATAAACCAAAGATCTTAATATAGTAACAATGATACATGAAGTAGAGGAAAAAGCATCAGGCAATGGTTTGCAACAAGTCCCTGCCATCAACGGGTTCGGCCCGGCGCGCTACGAATTTTCGAGGCAGCCGACCAGCCAGCACCCGACAAGTCCATGCCTCTTCGTATCAGCGCTTGACATGGGAGATGAGGGTCACTGCCAGCGCACCCAGAGTGGCGAAGAAGAACAACAGGCCCACCAAAATACCTACAATAGCACCTGTGTCGGCCATAATGCCCTCATCCATGCCATAGAACTCCAAAATGGTCACTGGCCGTCCGTCCTCAAAGGCGACCTGCGCCTTTCCAAGGTCCGAATCCTTGAACTGGTTGAGCATCAGCACCGCCCATGAATACCTCATGAAGGACGTCCAGGAATACCAATACCATCCCACGGGGATCTTGCTGAAGGTTATGAAGAGCCCACCAAAGTACAGGCATGTAGTGACATAGGTTGGGAGCAGGGCGTTGGCGGCCTCCATGGTAGGGGACACGGCAGCCACGGCATAGGCCAGGACAATGCCCACCATGGCGGTGAGGAAGTAGGCCGCAGTGAAAATCGCCAGGCTCCCCTGCAGGTCCATGGCGTAGAAGACCGAGATCGTGAAGACCAGGCTCGTGATCACGCACAGCACTGCCTCCTCAATGAACTTGTAGACGTAGTACGTCAGGCCAGTGTAAAGACCGTCTGCACGCTCGCGGTAGAATAGGGCTCGCTCCAGCGTCAAAGAAGGGACATAGGCCGCAGCTCCAAAGCCGCAAAGGGCGCACACGAAAAACAGCAGCGCCGAGGTTGATTGGATGCTCTGGGCGTCGCTCTTGCTGCCAATGCCCCAGTAGAGAGATAGTGTGAGCAGTGCCATGAAGATCTTGTCCCCGAAGCGCGGGCCCAGGAACTCCCCGTCCCTGTAGTGAGTCGACATTCGGTATGACAGCAAGGTCTTCAAAGCATGCAACTGTCCAGGCCCCGAAGTTGGCAGAGTCTTCAGCGACAGTGGCTCGGCCTTCAGCTTGGCAAAGGTCTCGTTCAGATCTTTGGAATAGCCCTCGCTGGCAGGGCTTTTCAGCCAGAGCTGCGAGAAGTCCGCAGTTGCCGCAGCGCCGTCCTCGGCGCCATCTGCATCTGTGAGTGAGCCAGTAGCTCCACTCGTGGTGTCCACCAGCCAATCTGGCAGGGAATAGCCTTGCTCTTCCGGGAAAGGATAGCCGCAGTGGACGAAGTGCGACTTCACATCAGCCACCTTGCCGGCATAGACCATGGCTCCTCCAGCCTGCAGCATCATGAGGTCGTCGAACAGGGAAAAGGCATAGCTTGTCGGGGAATGGATGGTGGCCACGATTGTGTAGCCTTCCTTGCCGAGTTCCTTCAGAATGGAGCACACCTCGTTTGCCATCTTCGAATCGAGTCCAGAGGTGGGCTCGTCCAAGAATACCACCAAAGGCTGCGAGATCAAGGAGAGGGCGACGTTCACTCGTTTGGCCTGACCACCGGATATGCCTCGTCGTAGCACATTGCCGATGACGGTGTTGCGGCACTTCTCCAGGCGCAGCTGACTGATCACGGAATCCACTCGCTTCCGCTTGTCCGCCTTCTGCAAGGAACGAGGGAGCTTCATCTCGGCTGTGTACATGAGCATCTGGTCGACCGTCAGTTCGCCAAGCAAGGTATCAAACTGCTCCACGTAGCCACACAGATGCTTGAGCACCCCGGCAGCGGCCGCACTGCCTCCGTAGAGGACCTCGCCATCAATCTGACCAGCGCCGCTCTTGCGACCGGCAAGAATGTCCATCAAGGTGGTCTTGCCGGAACCACTGGGGCCCATCAGTGCGGTGAGCCGGCCCGGCTGGAAAGCACCACTGAGGTCCTTCAGAATGGCATACCGCTCCTTGGACTTCTTCACGGGCACGGAGTAGGTAAGCTTGTTGAAGGTGACGGCCACTCCATTGCTGGACGCAGATGCGGGAAGCTTTCCTGTCATTGGGAGGTCTCCACAAGGCTTTGGAGATCGGAGAGGGGGGACTTGAGCTGGAAATGCTTGAGCCAAAATGGGTTCGGGTTTCGACTCACACACTGCACAAGGCTGGCATGGTTGATGAAGGTCCGCGCTTGCTACTGTGACATCACTGCACTCGCACCCCACAATACGAACAGGGCTTCAATGCAGCGACGCGAAGTGTCAGGGGGTGCATTGAGCCCCCGCAAGGACCACTCACATTCGAGCAGCAACCTTCACTATTTCAAAATGGTCCCGTGTTAAAGGCGTGGGTTTAGGGCCTAGGGTTTCGACTTTTCGCCTCTCACTCTCGCAAAGCAGGCAAGGGTTTGGAGCAGGCGAGAATAGTCCATAGTTCGCAGGATAGGCTCATGTGGCCTCGTCAGTGGTCTACGGTCCCACATGTCACAACAGACTCCAACGGACACACCAAAATGCAAACATCGCCACAGCATGTCAAGAACACTCACGACAAGGAGGGAGGCCTTGGTAATGGAAAACGGATACACATGCATCACCCTGCCTCCTCAAGAAAAGAAGGCTAAGCTACATTAGCTCAAACACAAGACAGACCGCAAGCATGGCATGGCGTAAGTTTGCTACTTCTAAGGCCTCCACCATCTGGGAAGCAAGTCACGAGAGGAAGGGAGTTCACAAAGTCAGCGTAGGGAACAATGAACACTCAAACACCTCTTGGCTTGGGCCTCTGCTACTCCCGCGCAGCATTGCGGTCACAAAAGGCGTTGGTTGGCAGGGGGTTCAAAGGCACCTCATGCAGTAACTGTAGTCCTCCACAGCCGGGTAGGAAAGGGTTGAGGGTTTAATGTAGGAACCTGATTAAGAAACTCTTGACAACCGCCACAAGAACCCTAATGAAACGTCCCTAAATTACTAAAACCCCAAAATATTTAGGGCTCATATAAAGAACCCCAATAAAGGCCCAGGATTTCTTAATCAGGCTCTTTTTTTAGGCTTGTCCCTAAACCCTAAACCCTCTAAACCCTATAAACCCTATAAACCCTATAAACCCTACAAACCTTATAAACCCCATAAACCCTGAAAACCCTGGACCCTAGCGCTTGTGGAGGTTCCCAGGTCCCGAGGTTGCTCTGGGGAGCTCCCCTGGGGCAGACACGCTCTGCCCGGTGATCTGCTGCTTCGCCACAGAGTAGAGCGCTTCGGCTGGCCACTCATGGAACCTGGGAATATCTGTGCCCTTAAGGGTTTAGGGTTTAAAATATGTTTTCCCCATTATGTTTAGGAATTTCTGTGCCCTTAAGGGGTTTAGGGTCTAGGGTTTACGGAGTCGAAGTTATGTTCCAAAGCAGCTTCCCGAAGAAGGATCATGCCATATTCTGCGGAACAGCCGCTGCAATGAAAGGCAAGCATGGTCCTTGGCCCTGCCTGTGCATCCTGTCCCTTCATCCCCACTAAGCTAGCACGAGTCCAGACGAGTCTTTCGGGACGTCGAAGCAGCTCTTCAGCGATGGGAGTCACCTACGCACAAGGTCTGTGCGCGGGACCAATCAATCGTGCAGCAGTTGACCAGCGATGGAAAGCTTCCTTACCAGAAGGCTCTCACAGTCGCAAAATGTGCAGACTTCTCGGTGGTTCGCCACGCGTGCTCGCAAGCCAAGGCTCGCAAACGATTTCTGAAGCTGTCGCCAACAGGAGAGAAAGCCAGTGTCACGTGCACGTTCTTTTTCACCCGACCTGCAACACTTCTCACAGCCCGGGCCAAGTTCTCGTGTCTGTCTCAATGAGAGCTGCCTCTGTCTGCTGCACTGGGCCGCGCACTCAGATAGGCACTGAAAAGGTTTGCCTTTGTGGGCTGCATTCCCATCGACCTCGGCAAGTCCAAAGGCCCGATTCCGGAGAAATCTCGAGAAGTCCGAGGCCATGGCTGGCAGAGCTGGCGGCAGGACGACGAGATGGCTTCGAAATCTTCATTGGCATAAAGGTTCGGCCTGAGGAAACTCAAGATGGAGATTTCTGCAGCTCCTGGCTTTTCAGGGTGCCCGGCACATCCCCGCTGTTCAGGACATTGTTGATGGCCTGGCTTCCCAAAGCAGGTGCAGGCAGACCAGGTGAGGCTCAAGGCTTAAGAGCTGCTTACTTGGATGTATACATATATATTAATATATATATATATTTATTTATTTATTTATCTATTTATGGTTAGTTTAGCATGTAGTCCAGCCCAGGAAGTGGCAGACATCAGCCTCGACAAAGTCTTCCTTCACAATCTGGGTGTCACAGAACAAGAAGATCTGAACCTCAGCCAAGAAACCAGCCCAAGTGCTGCGAGTCCGAGCATATGTGTGTGCGTCAGGCGTGGCCAAACTGCCAAAGAAAAGCGTGCTGCCTTGGGTTTCCGGCCTTGTCCTCCACGCCGCATTTCATCAGGCACTTCTTGACCTCAACGGCCGTGACTGCCGTCCCAGTCCCTCCCAGGAAAACCCCTGCAGTTACTTGCAACACTTTCACGAGCTCGCAACGTCGTCCTTGAACTCCGTCATCCCATAACCTGGCCCGCTGCAGAACAAGTTGAGGCTGCGCTTCAACGGGTGGCAGTCGACAATTAAACAAACCGATCTCGTGCCGGCCTTTCGCCACCTCAATCTGGAAGCAGTCTGCTTCATTCATGTACGCTGACCTGTCTCTGAACTGTCTACCACACGAAGGGATCCAGGAGACTATCAGCTTGTTGCAAGATCGCAGTCCCGGGGAGCATGCAGGCGTGTCAAGCTCTGCCGTCCACTTCCACCTCGTACAGGCCGTCTATTCACCAAGATAAGGTCTGCATGCGCCATGTTGCATGAAACGTGTTCTTCCATCCATGCGATGTCTGGGGCATGCGCCAACCCCGAGCAACAGGACGTTGCCATTGGGCTGGCTCAGGACACGACAAATGCGCGCCTGCACAGACTCAACTCTCCGAACTCACAGTATTATCATTATTTTCAATACCATGGCTATAATTACTATTGTCATTATTGTTACTAGTATCTGTACTAGTGCTATTCTTCTGAATACTATTATTCTGCTTATTGTCTGTATTATTATGATGATGAGTATTGTTTTTATTAATGGGTGTCTTAATGCTTCTTCTTGTTCTTGTTGATGCTGTTGCACTTGTTGTTGTTGTTGAAGTTGCTGTTATTTATACTATTTTCATGATCATTATTACTATTTCCACAGTTCAAGCTACTAATAATTATACGGAATTAATAACAAGAATAGTCTTTGTTGTCATTCTTACTGATATGATTATTGCTGTTGCTGCTGTTGTTGGTGTTGTTGTGGTTGCTGTTGCTTTCCCTAGTGTTATTGTTATAGTATTGTTGTAAGACTAGTATAACTAGTACTAATACTACTGCGGGTTTTACTGCTGATGTTATTGTTATTACTATCACTATTATATTCCGAATCTTCGTACTACTATAATTATTATTGCAACTAATTTTCTGGATCACTATTGCTATTGTTATTGTTGTTGCTGATGTTCTTGCTGCTGTCGTTGTTGCTGCTGCCGCTGTGGAGGTAACATTTTATTTTCAACAATTACCAATGCTCTTACTATTCTTTGATTGTTGTTGCCATTTATTATTCTTGCTATTGCTAGCACTAGTACTATTCTGCATGAACAGTGCTATTCTTGCTACTACTGTTGTTGTTACAATCTAGGACAAGAAAGGATGCGCATCCACAAGAAAACACGTCGGGATCGGCAAGACTCTGAGAACCTTGCGCAGTGTTCGCAGGCATCAAGGAACATGACAAGTGGCATGGTGATCGAGAAGACCTAGCCAGGGCAGCATTTCGTCTCTCCAGGGGCTGCATTGTTCCAAGACACTGGACTATGCGGCAGCAGTTGCCTGATTGTAGTCTTCCAGATACTCCTCAATTGCCTGCTTCATGGCCTCGCACCAACCGAATCTCCAACGGAGCTCTTCCCTGACTTGCTACCAAGGGAAAGCCTGCATGTCTGTGATCTCGTCATAAGTCCGATTCTCCACCTCCGGTGCACCATACCACCCATGCCATGGATGCAACGACGAGAGGATGAATGAAGACTACAGGTGACTCCGCCTCCTGGGTCAGGAAAGATGCAAAGATCAGGCGCTCCTTGCAGGAAAAGTAATGAAGTAATGTCTAGGAAAGGCCTCAGCATCAGAATTCCACGGGGATCTCTAAGTGACTTTGGAAGGTGCACGCCTTGTCGAAGATGACTTCGAGCTTCTGCTCAAGATCCTGCAAGTCTGTGGCAAACCGGATTCAGCTCAATTGCAGCTCAGTCTGGCAGCTGTTGTAGGCTATAGGCTAACCCTTTTTGAAGCCAGACTTGATGACTGCCAGCATTGCCTCATCTGCCGTTCTTCAGCAGAGGCCCGAAAATAGGCTAACCCTAAACCCTGAACCATAAACCCGTTGTAGGAGTTGTTGTTGTGTTTTTTATGACCGACCAATCCTGGCTCACCGCGCCCTCGACCTGCGTCTTCATCCACTGCAGGTCTTGGCTGTCCTGGAGCGGTTGGGCGAGCTTCGTTTCTACTGTTCTTGATATTGTTACTACTATGTATAAGTACTATTGCTATTATTTTTGCGAATATGAGTACTATTGTTGTACTCAATCTTCATATTATTATAATTTTATGGAAACGGCACGGGGTTCAGGGTAACGTTTCGACTCGCAGACTTGTAGAAAGCAGGCACGGATGTAGACAATTCAGTCCAGCTTGCCAAAACGACATGAGAGGGAGTTTCAATCTAACGCAAACCAACAAAACCCGAGTAGGCAACAGGTCAAGATAAGAAACTATGACCGTGGGCGCACCCACATCCAAAATATCATATGTCGCTTTCACATAAGGTCAAGCAGTCCCTCAGGGCGCAACTCGAAACAAAATCAGAATAAGGACCAAGCCATTTTGTCAGCTAGGCTATTCGAAGTTCATATATAGGGTCTACGGCCGCGCTTGCCGTGTGCAAGTCGAGCCAAATCCACACCCCTCGATAACTGGCCCGATCGCGTTGGAGCACAGATCCACAGTCCACAGTGGAGCTGCTGTGCCCGGAAGGGCCAAAGTTAAAGTGGACTTGTTAATTAAGAACAACATTGTTCACCGAGAACTGTTCAAAAGGCGAGCCTGAACGGCTCTGCGTAGAAATGCAAAAAGTGACTCAGGCTGTGTAAAGATGCGCAGTGTCGGCTACGTTGAGCTCACCTACGCCTTGAAAGGGACCGACGAGTGGTGAAGGCAGATGCGCACCTTACCATCGGGGTTCCTCCTGTAGCCAAAGGTGTACTCTACCTTGGTCTTGCTTCCGTCTGCTGCGCTAGTGAAGTAATAATTCCCCATTGCGAGGGCCATGTTGCCGTCCACATCGATCTCGTGGTTCTCGAACACGACATCTGACCAGCCCTTGCCCCCGTTGATGGCGAAGCCAGCATCCTCAGAATGACCTCTCGTAACTGATTTCCTGCCGACGAAATAGGACATCGCGTCCTCGGCCGTCGGTCGGAACTGGGCCTCTGCCGCCTTGGTGGGCTTGAACAGGACCTTCGAGTGACCATAGCCATAAAGCTCGCCAGCCGCTTTGCCAGCAACCGCCACAAAGTCGCCTCCATCCAAGTAGGTCTTAGAGATCGTTTTGATGGCGTTGGCCCAAGCTGCCTGCACACTGAGCACATCCTCCTTGGAGACAGCGCCAGGGGCCGGAGGGCTAAATGGCACGGACGAGTGGTGCAGGAAGATGCGCACCTTCCCATCGGCGTTCTTCTTGTAGCCAAACGTGTACTCTACCTTGGTCTTGCTTCCGTCCGCTGCACTGGTGAAGACGTAGTTTCCCATTGCAGTGGCCGTGTTGCCGTCCGCGACAATCTGGTGGTTGTCGAACACAACATCTGACCAACCCTTGCCGCCGTTGATGGCGAAGCCACCATCTTCTGGAATTCCATCATCAACAGCCTTGCAGCCCACGAAGTAGGACATGGCTTGGGATGCCATGGGTCGGAACTGGACGTCCTTCGCCTTGGTTGGCTTGAAGAGCACCTTTGTGTGACCGTAGCCGTACAGCTCACCTGCTGCCTTCCCCGCTGCTGCCACATAGTCACCCCCGTCCAAGTAAGTTTTGGAGATAGATTTAATGGCATTGGCCCAAGCTGCCTGCGCCTCTCTCACCTCCTCCTCAGAAACCGCTGCGAGTTGTGCCGGTGGGGCGGCTGCGGCGGCTGGGGCGGCTGGGGCAGGACTGAATGGCACGGACGAATGGTGGAGGAAGATGCGCACCTTCCCATCGGCGTTCTTCTTGTAGCCAAACGTGTACTCCACCTTGGTCTTGCTTCCGTCAGCTGCGCTCGTGAAGAAGTAGTTCCCCATAGCAATGGCTGAGTTGCCATCCACATCGATCTCGTGGTTGTCGAACACAACATCTGACCAGCCTTTGCCGCCGTTGATGGCGAAACCACCATCTTCTGGAATTCCATCATCGACAGCCTTGCAGCCCACAAAGTAGGACATGGCCTGGGCTGCCATGGGCCGGAACTGGACGTCCTTCGCCTTGGTTGGCTTGAAGAGCACCTTTGTGTGACCGTAGCCGTACAGCTCACCTGCTGCCTTCCCCGCGGCTGCCACATAGTCACCTCCGTCCAAGTAAGTTTTGGAGATCGTTTTAATGGCGTTGGCCCAAGCTGCTTGCGCGGCTCTCACATCATCCTCGGAAAGTGCTGCAGCTTTGATGGCTCCCGGCGGGCTAAATGGCACGGACGAATGGTGCAAGAAGATGCGCACCTTGCCATCGGCATTCTTCTTATAGCCAAACGTGTACTCCACCATGGTCTTGCTTCCGTCCGCTGCACTTGTGAAATAGTAGTTCCCCATTGCAGTGGCTGTATCTGCACTCAACTCGATCTGGTGGTTGTCGAACACAACATCTGACCAACCCTTGCCGCCGTTGATGGCAAAGCCACCATCTTCTGGAATTCCATCATCAACAGCCTTGCAGCCTACGAAGTAGGACATGGCCTGGGTGGCCATGGGCCGGAACTGGACATCCTTCGCCTTCGTTGGCTTGAAGAGCACCTTTGAATGACCGTAGCCGTACAGCTCACCTGCTGCCTTCCCCGCGGCTGCCACATAGTCACCTCCGTCCAAGTAAGTTTTGGAGATCGTTTTAATGGCATTGGCCCAAGCTGCCTGCGCGGCTCGCACCTCACCCTCGGAGATTGCGGTGGCCCCTCCACTTGCGGCGCCGGCACTAAATGGCACGGACGAGTGGTGGAGGAAGATGCGCACCTTGCCATCGGCATTCTTCTTATAGCCGAACGTGTACTCAACTTTGGTCTTGCTTCCGTCCGCTGCGCTAGTGAAGTAATAATTCCCCATGGCGATGGCCACTTTTCCACTCAAATCGATCTGGTGGTTGTCAAAAACAACGCTTGACCAGCCCTTGCCGCCGTTGATGGCAAAACCACCATCCTCCGAAATTCCATTCTGCACAGCATTGCAGCCCACAAAGTAGGACATGGCTTGGGGTGCCATGGGCCGGAACTGGACATCCTTTGCCTTCGTGGGCTTGAAAAGCACATCACAGTGCCCGTAACCATAGAGCTCACCAGCGGCTTTGGCGGCGGCGGAAACGTAGTCGCCCTTCTCCAGGTAGATTTTGGAGATACCAACGATGGCATCGGACCAAGCCTTCTGCGCCTGGTGAACTTCCACCTCCGAGACGGACATCTTCGCTGCTGGGTGGAGGCTGCCAAGGAAGTGGGGGGCACCAAAAATACACTGCTTGAGTGAAAATTGCTACGATGCAGCATCTATGAGGTCCTGAATGCACAGCAACCAACTCCAGCCGTCTAAGCTCCGTAAACTCCGAAAATCCCTTTGCTCTGGTCTGCAGCACCCCAAACAGGACAGAGGCCCAGATGCGCAACCGAAAAACCTTGAACCTGCAAACCCCCAAGCCCGACGACACCCGAAACCTCAAACCTGTATCCACACGCCTTGCCGCGAAACAACCTCCAAGCCCAAACCCGACCCAGTCGCTGCTGCAGATTCCCAATCCTATGAGAACCAAAGATTGACCCGTTGGGACTACATAGGAAACCTCAACCCCCAAACTGTTTGGGATTACATGCGAGTTCAGGCATCCGGCCGTCAGTCGGTCTCCGAAGACTCGCTGGATCTCATGAGCCCAGCACCGGGTCACCTCGTTGAAGCCAAGACCGCACACACACACACACACAGAGGCACATGCATCCGAAGTATGCTGAGTCTGAATATGTGCAGAGGTAGGTCTACAAAACATGGTTCTACATACACAAGAAACATGTAGAGATGGATACGCAGAAAATCAATTCGTTCATGTGTGTGTGCGCAGGTATGTGTGTATGCATGCAGGCCATGTGTGTAAGGTTTGCTATGAATTTGTTTACAGGTTATTGGCATATACTTAGACTTTTATGTGCTTGCTAGTTGTATTTCTATGCCGACTATGTGTTTCATTGACTGAGTGGTTGCTTCATAGGTAGTTCTTTAAATTAGGGTCCCTTTTTAGGTCCCAGCTATAGTAAGGCACCCTTGTGAAAAGGACCCTGCAAGGGACCCTAATTTAGAAAACTACCCTCATTAAAAGGTGAGGGATGGTTGACGACCAGCCCTCGGAACCCTTGCTGCTTCGCAGGCCCGACACTGCTGGCGGCGAGCAGACGAGGCCGCCAAACCCCTAAACCCTGCAAGAACCTTCAGGATGTAGGGTTTAGGGTTTAGGGTTCAGGTTTTTTTTGCCTCCCAGCTAGCTAGGACGTTCAGGGTTTCGATTCTCACGGTTTAGGGATACTGAGTCACCGACGGTCAGGGGATTGTTGGACTTCTTGGAGCTGAGGCTGCAAAGACCAAGGAAGACCTGGGAGTCCATCCGGGCAAGGGCTGGGCTTCAGCGAGGCGGTTTCGGGGTTTGGGACTTTCGGGTTTCGACGCTCACAACTCGGGCACTCCAGGCGATCAATGGTGGGGGTGTTTTGGCAAGTTTGGGGTTTCGCTTTTTGGTCTGGGGTTTGGATGTGGTGTTCAGGCTTTAGGGTGCCGGGCCTTCCAGATGTCACGCAAGTTGAAGAGGTAGTGGGACTTCGCTGGTGTGGGCAGCAGGTCGTTCAATGCCTGCCGGGCATCAGTACTCAGATTCACCATGACACGCTGGCAAGTGTCTCCGTGATTGTCGACACTCCTTTTCCCCATCACAAGAGCAAGTGCAGAGAGACTCTGTAGTGGACAACACATTCTTTGGCATGTCCACAGACGACAGAAAGTCGGAACAGAAAGGTTCCTTTCTTCCAACACCTGCCTTTTGCGCGACAGCTGCAGCAGCCTCTTTGGGACTGTCCAGCTGCAATATCTTACACAGGCTCCGTCCTGGCAGCTGGTGCTTTGGGCTCTCGTGGTGCAACCTTGGCACAAGCTCACACAAGCTCTTTACGGCCCCCCCCGGCTTCGATTGACTCTACATGGGAATCAGAAACAGCCTAAAAGGCCCTAAACTCTAAACCCCTAAACTCACAATTTCAGTGAGGGTGCTGCTGTAGCCTTCTCGGACGCTGCTTTCACCACCGACCTCAGGGCAAAAAAGGCCATGTCAGAAAGCGGGGGAGTTCGGCGATCCCTGGGGAGCCATGCGACCGCGGCTTCCGTAGTCTGAGCATGGTGCAGGGTCTTCACGAACTCGAACTTATCAATTTCGTCCAAGATCTTGCTCAAGTCAAAGGACTTTTGGCTTCGTATCTCCTTTGCTGGCGTGCGGTGCATCGAAGATCTCTTCAGGGGGAATCTAAGGGGCTGAAAGCCGGGCAGCTGTGGGAGGTCTCATCAAGAGGAGATCGAGGAACTCTGGCTCCTGGCCGATTCTTGACGCTTTCAACTCTCACACTCGCACCAAGCAGGCAAGGAGGCACATCTTGACGCTTTAGAGTTTTGGGCTTAGGGGTTTAGGGCTTAGGGCTTTGGGGTTTAGGGTATTTAGGGGTTTAGGGCTTAGGGCTTTGGGGGGCTCGGGGATGAACTCCCATGCCTCGGTTGCATCTTGGATCTTCTGCTGAAGGGCACATGCGAGATTGTCAGACTTGAGGTCGGAGTGGAGGAGCAAGTCCAGAAAGCGATTCACTTGCCTGAGGGAGCGCGAGCCCCTTTCAGGCAAGGGGGCACTGGAGCAGATGCCCTCTATGACTTTATGAAAAGATATACTAGATTATGCTGTATCATTGTATTCTACCATCTTGTTCACTTGCAGACGCGATTCAAGTGAGTTTTCCAGCGCTGGAGATCATCGGCTGGCAGCAATGCCTCAGAACGGATGGCCACCGGCACGTGACTGCCAGGGCATCAGACACCCGGACATGCCGAATTCAGGCAAGACTCCAAACATCGCAATACATCTCGAATCCGGTCGCTGCCACTCCTGGATTCAAAAACGACGTCGGGTCACGCAGAGGGTGCTGCAGGCAGAGCCCTGGGCCTTGCCACCATGGGGGACAACAGCGCAGCGGGCCCGCAACGCTGGCACAGCTTCACCTTGAGTGGCGTCTCATCTCCCAAGGTGTTCTTCAGATCTGACAACGCTGAGGACCCGGCCAACAATCTCAAGATACGTCCGAAGGTGTGGGCCTGAGACTGGATCCCGTCTTGAGGCAGCTCAATCAAGGCCTGGCAGGAAATACCGTCCAGGCTTTAGAAATCCGGAGACTGCACGGTAGAAGGAGCCTTTACAATGTTACAACTCAGCAAAGCCTGTATGAGCTCCTCCACGGGATTCACTTTTGCCCTCTTCTTCGCTTGCTCATGCACATGGAGCTTCTGCACTGACACCTTGGGAGTCCGACAAGCACAGGGATCGCGGAAGACGATATCCATCCTAATCCTAGCATCCGTACCGCATGTGGTTTCAAATTGATGTCCAGCCCAACCTTCCCGCCGATATCACCGAGGCGGCGACCAAAACCCTGAAAGTCTGCTCGCAACCGCGGATGCGGCCAGAACGAGAAGTATGAAGACACTTGAAGACACATGCCTTTTTTAATCTAAGTTATACCTCTCTTCCACGACCCCTCAAGAAAACAAAGCCCTATCCCCACAACACGAAACCCCAAAGCCAAGGCCGTGGCCAAGAGGGCGTCGATCGGCTCCAGGCTCTCGCAGGCGGTCACCACCGCCCGGCGCACGAAGGAGGCCACCTTAAGAACCGTATTAGAACCCTTTAAAGGAACCCTTACTTATAACCCCACTTATAGAACTACCC